AAATGTCATTACTGTTTATTTGTGGTATGATCAAAGTATGCATGTGAATCATGTAGCCTTCGGTGTGAGCTGTATCGGCCACCGGACGATTGTCCCCGTAGCTATAGAACGTACCTTCGGGTAGTCTTCTTTGAGAAGTCGTAAGACCAGGGCTTAGGTCCCTCGACCGGTGATCCTCATTGGTAAGTCCAAGGCAAGGCCTTGGATGGTGGGGTGATTTACTCCTACTGGCTGGCACTCGATGTAGGTTCGGAGGGCATTCGGTATATAATCAGCAGTAGTCTATGCGTAGGTATGCACATGAGTCTGATTATTGTGATTATTGATGGGAGAATGGGATAGATTATTGCTTAGTATACATGCTGAGACCATACCTTTTGGTTATTGATTACTGTTGATTATTGACATTAACATTTATTTCATAGCGGTGAGCACTACTGTTTTCTTCTGTGCTCATCCCCACCTGCTCTTCATGGATCCAAGTTAGTGTTGCGGGCACGGCTGAGGGAAGCGAATGTGGTCATAATAAGTTGTTATTGCTTCCGCTTGAAACTGAATTATTGCTATTAATGTTTTCTTCGATTACTGTGTTATTGTTAGGGAATGTTTTCCCTAGGATTTTATGAGTATTGAATTGGTTACTGATTTTTCAACTGGGTTATTATGGATTATTGATTATATTGAGGATTGATTATTGATAATTGTTTGAATTTTGATATTGGTTTTGAAAGTGAGTAGCGCCTCAAGTGTTTTTGAAAATAAATTTCAAAAAATTTATCCTGAATTTTGGCAAATAAAAGTGGGGCGTTACAGTTTGGTATCAGAGCCAGTCTCCGTTTCTGTAAACTGGTTAATGTGAATTATATGATTATTGCTTTGACTTTAAGTTATGACCACTCGCTCCCGTCGTGCCGCGCCAACTCAGGTATGAGTACCTAAATAATTTTGAGATTGCTGTGCAATGCCTGATTATTGATTATTGATATGAAATCGGGGTTTAGGAGTTATCCACCTATGTTATAAATTCGGACTCTAGCGTTGAACTCTAGATTCCCTTATTATTGTGCTAAATCTTTTCGACCATTTCTCAATGTAGAACTTGTTGGGTTCGCCTGTACCGTACGAGCTATATGCAGCGGAATTTAAAAATTTTTAAAACATGTATTTAACAATTAAATACATATCTCGTACATACATATGGCGAATTAACAGATCGTCATCTTTAAAAACATGTAATAATACAAATTTTGATTTGTTTGATAGTAAATACAATATTTACCGTTAATCTTGAACTCCTTCAAAATCGTAGATGGATTGAGGAAATCGGTTTCCAGATTGGTAACGTCACTTCACTTCTTGTGCTTGTGGTTACTCGCTTTAGGAATCCACGTGTCTTCCCTCTAAACGTATCCATCTTTCAAAATCGGGTTCCAACGATAGCTTCTTCGCTAGTAGAAACTTCTCGGTTTTTCAATAGTATAGAATATATATATTTTATAAGGAAATATTTCAAGTACTTTTCTTGATATTACACTCAACTCTTTGAATGTGTTTCTCTCTTGGAAGAACTT